AAAGTTTGTGAAGCAGAGAATTTGTGCAATTGATGGTTTGGTTCACGGAAGAGGAGCAAAATAAAAAAAGTTGAATGTTTCAAATGAAGGAATAATAAATTATTACAAAGTAAATGCATAAGAAATAAATTAAATAAAGCTAAAGGAAATAAAATTAAAAAATATAATAATATAAAATTAAGATTATAATTAATATAATAAGATACAATATGCAACGTCATGGACCAATTTAGTTTAACTTTTAGTAGTAATTTATATATTGGAAAGTTGTTTAATTAAAACTAACGAAATACGAATTTTTTTTCTATTTTTAATTTATTTCGAGTGAATTTGCGACCTGCTGTGCAGTGCTAAATTTTGCCAGCTGCTTGTAGATAATTTCAATTTGCGATACTGACGTACCTCACAGTTTGATAAAATTCCTTCTCAACTAACAATTTCTATTTGTTTTCACATGAGAGAAATATGTATGTGAACTCAATGAGCATTTATTTTTAGCCTTTTTGCCTTATTTTAGTGTGGGACCTGAAGTTGATTCTTTCCCCAAAAAGATATAATACACTCATGGACTTTTCTTCACTTCAATGTTGCACATTTACAATATTTTTGAAATCCCACAAGTCTCATTAGCAAATTTTTTAATTCGATTAAAATTGCCGAAAAAGCGATAATTCTCACAAATAGACGTGAAACCTCTCCATGGCGATCTATCACTGTTTCCACAAATAAATTAATCCGCAAGCTCCACCAAGTCTTGTTACCCGCTTTTTGTATGAATTTCGAGAAAAAATGCAGCGAGTGTACGTTGTCAGGGATATTATTTAATTTGAATTTGTTTGCCGCCTCTTGTGTAGTTGCTTTATTATGTATGTATATAAATGAGTGCAAGTTGAGCTACTTGTCCTTACGAATTTGCTTGAAAGTTGATCATATAATATTATACAATAAATGATATTGATTTTCAAAGATGAGTTGTTCTTGAAAGAATTAGCTATACTATATATGTCTTTTATTCTTTTTTTTTCAATTTTCACAGTAAAACTTATTTAGTTGCTTCTAATTCATAGTATTTTCTTTAGAAGTTGCACAACAAATTATTCAGCCTTAAATCTTTCAATCGCTTAATCTTTTGTCTAGACACATTCTAGCGCCTAACAAAATAAATACGTTTTTCATGTGTTTAAACATAAAGTTGTAAGCAGCATAGGTCTCTCCTAAAATTATTATTTATAGAGGACTACCCAAACACGAGCCTATATTCAATGCGTAAAAAAACAGAAGAGAATTTGAAAGAAAAAATTTAAAAAGTGTAGAGGTAAGATCATTGCCATAAATATCATCCGCTCATTCCAGCTATTGGATGCTTTTGTTGAAGACTGTACCTTAACGGCAACCTTAAACTGGTTGCATAAACCTGTACAGACTTAAAGGTCCAGAGTTAACTCCTTTTTGTGCTTACAACGAACAGCTGCTGCTACTTGTCGATCTTGCGGTTGCCGTGAATCCGATGTTCTATTGTGGAACAAAATACTATGTATCTTTCAACCTAGGCAAAACCTAAACTGCTTTCTGTTTTGTCCTCCTCGCGTATAAAATGAAAAATGGATACTGAACTTCTAACCTAACTCAGCTTGACGTAATGCCAGAAATTCCTATAAAGTAGTTATCTAAACAAGCAACTGCTATGCGGTTAGTGAAAAACATAAAACTTCATATAAAATTATAATAAGCAAAAATTTCCCACACTGTTGTGTTCTATTCAAAAAGTGAGAAACTCATCTACTCACTGCTGCCATGCGATCCTGAATATGTCGAAAATGCTTGCCACCGCGACAATGCTAATAATGTACCAGCTTGTATTGTATATACATAAGCAATTTTTCACAAAGCGTCCTTTTGTATGCAACTCAAACACACACTCGGATGCACATACGGGCCACCGCCTAATGTAATCACCATCAATTTGCCATGGAGAATTTCCTGGAAAATTTAATGCTTTGAAAAGTAACAGGAAGGGTCTAAAATTGGGTAAACCCGAAAATCGAGTAGTGTTTTAAGAAGTCATTCGGAAATGGTTAATGCGCCATAAGGACTATTACCATGTTCGCATAGGATTTGTACGTCTGGACTGATATAGTGGACGTATCAGCTTCTCTCCTATAGCGATACTAAAAGCGTACAGCATAAAATTGATCCCTTACTATCTCTCTGTCCAAATATCATGGAAAAAGCCATCCCTTTAGCATGCGAAAGGTATTATCGAACTGTGTGAATGATTAGGGACCACCATTAACAGGTCATGTCGATGTGGCTTTAAACCTGGGAAAACTGCAGCATCTCTTTGGTGTCTTCGGTAGGAGAAATGGAGTTTCAGCAACATCGCGATAATTACTTAGAAATTAATTATCTCCAGAGCCCCAATCTTTTCAGTTTTGGGGTAAATTATTGCTGGCAGAAGTGCACATCTAAATAAGCCCGACTTGTCATTCAATAGGGTTCGGTGGAACATTCGTTTGATTATCTACTCTGAACCGTTGCAGGTAAACATTAGTCGTACCAAGTTAACGCACACTATGGGTTGGAAAAAGAGAAACAGCGTTTGAGTGTCAGCTGCTCGACCGGCGACAGAATCAACCAAGCGTTCAACCACTGATACAATTTGTGGCTGTGATGGCAGCAAACGCGGAGGTGCAACCGAGAAGGCAACAGCAGTAACCACAACTGAAGAGCTAATGAAAGCAAACAGAATGTCATGCTCCTCGTTCAGCTTAATCCTGGCGAGCTAAGTGAGATAAGTGCAAGCACAATAGACACTTGTCGGTATATTTATGAAACACTCATATTTATAGGAAGTGGGGAATGGGTAAGTAGAGCTTCGACTGTTACTACCACGCGAACGCATGCACATATAAGTCAGAATGTCATCAGCAGCAGCAGCTGCATGGCGGCTTGTTGGATTAGTGGTTTTCACTTTGTTGTCGATTTTGTGTTTGGGCCGTGGTTTGTGTAATTAGAATTCACATCTTGCTTCGATGTTTCTTCTGCATCTAAAGAGATAATGTCAGCTCTGAAAAACCTCGTTTCATGGGAACCTACTCTTCAAAAACAACAAACTATTCATAATATCAGAAGGCTTGCCACTATGAAGAGCAAGCCGTATCACAGTTTGCAGGAAACAACACTCTTGGAGATTTGCGGTGAGCTACAGCTCCCTCTCCGCCTTACGTCGACCTCCAGGAAGCCACATGCTTATGAATTCATAGAGCAAGCGGTATGTTTCCCTTTATCTCCTTTTAAAGCTCATCTCTTCCAAATGCTTCATTTTAATTTTTACTTTCTTCTCCACAGCTAAGCGCCTCGGTGTATGCAATGAATTACCGCATAAATCCAAGTAATTCGTTTTCATTTTCCAACGCTACACTCAATTTGTCCCTAAGTTAGGGAAAATGATGGTGATTGCTGGCTTTTCAACACTGCTTCTCACTAACACGCACACACACACACACACTAGAACTGAACGCATTGTCTAATTATATGTAGCGCTTTCTTGAACGCGTGTGCCTTGAGAATTCTTATTGTCGTCACACCTCCCCTCGCGTTTCGATTGGCAACTCTTGAACGTCTTGATGGGATTTATCGGTGATTCGCCCGCTTAAAAACTGCACATCAGCCGACTGCAGGGCATGATGTAATTGATGCGAGGTGAGTAGAACGGTAGTCCTACAAAATACGCTAAAGAAACCGCTGAATGGATAAATCGCGCAGCAGTGAAGCGTTCAATAAAAGTTCTTTGTTTAAAGCCATAGATGTGCAATTGTGTGTCTTCATTTGGTTATGGGCTTTCAGATTTATTCAAAATAAACTGCATGGAGCGTTACACATTTCTGTGAATGTCGTGTAGCATTTCATATATCAGTCGGTTATTTAGAGTTCGCCCAAAAGGGGGGAAAATACTATTTAATATTTAATATTTAATATTTATGGAAAGTATACGTATCGTCGGCAGTGTACAGTATCGTCATTGGAACGAACTCAAAATTGTTATTGAAATTATTTACAGTCGTACTTCATGCAAACGAAAATATCTGGCAATTTATAACTATCAACATTTTTTAAATATCGTCACAATGAAGTGGTTGGTGCTTTTCCAAGCTCTGGTCGATGCTTCAATATTTTAAACGAAAGATTCGGGCTTTCATCTGCTTACAGCAAAAATAGTGTTTAGAATTGATCAAGAGGCAAGGCATTAAAATATTTCATCGTGACAATACTAGACTATATACATCCAGGAAAAAATTGAATGGCTTGTTTGGTAAGTTTTGATTCACTCACCATATATTCCGGATGTTTCAATTCTTCCCCTTCTTAAAATAAATGTTTGAATTAAAAATGAAAACAGATGACAACTCACCATTTCTTATATATTTTAGAGGACAGCGTCACCTGACAATTAAATTTTTGAAGCTAATAAAATACATATACTATACTATATATATATACTTATACTATAGTACTCAACTCAATCACACTCAGTCACACACTAACGATGAATTTTGCTGTAAATTTTCTATACAGACACCAAGGCCGCATACCCTTCTGCGATTACATAGGTTTCAGCTAAAGACCCTCGAACTTCGCTCTCCAACACGGCATCCAAAGCCTCTCCATGCAGTTATGAACTTCCCAGACGTCATAATGCCGCATGCCCACTGGCAATTTGAAGGCTCTAATTACCAACGCAGACTATTTCTATAATAAATCCCGAACTGAAATGATTTTGTAAATTATAATGATCAAAAGCCTGACTTTTGACTACTGACTACTGTTTTTGCAAAAGAGGGAAACTCTTAAAGTGAAACGCGAAAATCAATCTGATACTTTTCTCTATCTCAGAAGAATAAATACAATATCCACATTTCACATAAAAATACTGGCATATCAGATAAAACAAAAGAATGTTCTGTACAATCTACAAATTGGAATTTAGTTTAAAAAATTACCTCAACAACCAAAAAGAAGAGCAAAACATACACGCCCCATATGCTTCACGAACGCGTCTGAAAATGTTAAAAGAAATAAATATTAACAAGAGATGAAGAGTTTTATGCCAGCTAATACCTCAAGTTTCTAGTATAATTACCTCATGAGAAATAAACCTCTTATGCACCAAGGATTTATTTTACGTAATGGATTGTAGTCAAGCTTCTAGGTATACTGTTACAGTTGCGAGGCTATATTGATTTTCCACCTTTGTGTCCATGTCGCGTACCTTGGAAACATGAGCGACCCTTGTACAAGACGCGGTAAGCAACGCCTCAGATGAAAATTAATTAAAATACAAAATTAAGATAATTTTTCCAATTGCGGACGCCCTCGGCAGGGAATGTCAACCCCTCCGTTCAGCCGTTCAAAGGTAGCTTAGTAAAAACTAAGATTTGTTTGCTTTGCAACGGTTTGCAACGGTTTGCTCAAAGTCACTTTTACGTTCTCACTGCTAACTATTCCGCAAATGCGCTCTGCCGAATCAACTTCCTTTTACAACGCTCGATGCTGCCGACTAAGCGGAACTCTTAATAACAATTTGTGCACTTGACTACATCCCAAAAATGTATGAAATTCATTACAAATGAAGCGAAACTGAAATCGATTTCCATTTTGTTAATAAGCATATCCTCGCAATTTGCACTCTGAAACTAAATCATATATGTATGTATGTGTGTATTTGCATGTTGTACAAACAATTTAATTCAAATATTTTATCATAGTCCAACTCATGTGAATCGCCAGGAAAATTATATATTATTTTTGTTATAATTAATTCAAATTGATGCTGTTTAATGAGTGCAAATAATAATTAGTGATATTTTGGAGAACTAAAATTTATTTAGCTTCAGCAAAAACAATTATTTCATTTAATAGACTTTGACAACTGTTATTTTGCTATTTACCACATAAAATTAGATTTTAGATGACATTGGATACTTTGTGTGTGCGTGTGTGCGTGAGTGCGTGTGTGCGTGTGTGCCTCGCCACTAATTACCACCTCAGTGACTAGAATTTGTTAATTTTACGTTGAAAAAAAAATCGAAAGCCTAGCAAATCGTTTTCTAAAATCTAATGGTAATAAAATAATTTTCAACTTGCCCACATTTTCTATACGATAATAGAGTATGTTAAACAGTTTTACTTGAGCGGACTTTCGGAACATTGCGGAATCAATTCATGGCACTCCAAAAATTCGAATAGTTTTGCATTTCAGCTGTATACGATTTGCCTTCCAATTCAGTACTTCTTTAAAGTTATTTCGACTTTATTTCGGATGCGGTTCTTCAAAGCTTTGGTACTAGTCAAAGACCCTTCAGGGCCAGACTGCAAACATTTCGAGATGTTTCCATACAAAGTATTTGATAGATCTAAATTGCCCAATTACTAAAAAATAATTTTACAACCCCACCACATACCTTTCTGCACACTTTTAGGTGCCTTAAATTAAATATTTGAGGTTAAGTTTCTCTCTTGCTAAATTCAATTTCCCAGAATGCGGAACACAACAGCACCGTAATATACGTACATTTGATAAAGAAATGTACCAGAAACACATGTATGTATAACGCGCAATAGACAATGCGTCAAATTGTATGAAAATGCGTAGAAAATCAGCTACTCTGGCGTACATACTTACATGTATACTACCATGCATTTATGAAAGTGAATAAGCCAAAGTGTAATTTCGCAGGTAAATATCGTAGTATGAAAAAAAACTTGGTAGGGAGAGCCCCTCACAGTGGTATATATGTATATAAAAGCGTTGAGTGTTGAGTTTCACTTGGAGTGTGGGCTAATGCCAACATAAACCAGAATGTGGATGTACACGTAGTCAGCAGGGAGTTGGTATGTACAATATAAAAAGTCAATTAATTTTCCCAAGTGACTTACACATAAAAAAGAATGTGGAACACCAGCAGTGAATATATATTAGGTGTAGTAAAAAGAACTCCATTATTGTTCTTGGAAATTGAATGTTTTGTTTTTGTTTTTCGTATCCAGTCTCATTCAATTAGTTCAACATGTTTTTAGTGCAATCTTTAGCTTTCGGGCATTCGAAACATTGCTTGCATGACGGTCGGACTCGACAATGTCAGTGACTTTATCAACATTTTCGCCAATTGGCTCTTTTACATCGAAATTACGAAATGTCATTTTTCTAACGCCATCGAGCGGAACCCGATCGGACTTATACAACGCTAGACACAGATAAATAATGTCATTTATTGGAAAAATAATGGATTTCTTTTTACTTCAACTAACATGTGTCGATGAGTATGTATGTGTGTGCATGTAAAAGTGCATAAACGACCAATTGTTTGAGAGAAAATAAAGTAACATTCATATACATAAATATACATAAATATTAACGTAAAAGGTATGCTTTTATGCAGAATAAACTTAGCTCACGTTTGCATATGTGTATGCAAAAAGCGACACGAAAATAAATGAACACAGCTCTGGTAGTAATCTGGTTATAAGCTGAGAATATTAAATATAAACAAACCCTTTGAGCACACATTACATACGTGTATTTGGATATGGGTGTGCATACACATATATATTTACTAGTAAATCTTCACAAATATTTATATGGTTATAAAGTACCCCTTCGGAAGCAGTAGTAAATGTATTTTGTAACTTATATATGTATTTATGTATATGTATGTGTGCACCCACCACGCTCTGTTATCATTTTTATATTTTTATCACACTCATTCTTAAACATGTGGAGATTATTCATGTTTTACTTGTGTATTACATCTTGCTTCTGAAGAATGGCATCAAAGGTGTAATAATATCACCACCCTCTTTGAGGATACATTGCACATTGCATTGTACTGAACATAGTAGAGTTGGTTCAGTTTAAGAAAGGCACTCAAAGCACTCTTAAGACCTATAAAGTTCTCTTCAAAAATACTGAAATAATAAAGTACTCTATGAAAAATAAAAGCAACTTCTTCCGCATCAGTTTGAAAATGCTTTAGATCAGTTTATGACTTTTCGGAATATTATAGTTCTAAATTCTGGGATTAAATTGTGCTGAGCTCATCACCATCTGGCTAGTTCTATGAATAGTGACAATAGTCAATTCAAATCTAGTTTTGAGTGGCCCATGGAGGTAACCGCAAATGTGCAATACAAACCAAAAAACATACGGTGAAAAAGTATGTTAAAATGTCGAGTGGTGGGAAAGGCAGGACGTCAGTACGAAGTGGCAATGTTTCCGTCGATAAGGAGATCAAGTTAGCAAGTTCTCCTTCTTTGGAGACGAAATAAAAAACTGATAATAATAATGGTTTAGAAAAACTGTTTAACTGCTCACATAATTCTTTATATGTACATCTATAAAGCGACTCTCACAAACCATACGAGGCTACTTTTTAAAAATACGAACGCTACCCGACTACTTGAATCGTAGCGACGAACGGGCGCGCAACAAGATATATTTTTCAAAACGTCTGTAAGAGGTTAATATATTTTATATTTTAATCTATTTTCTGTATAAATATTTCTCATCTAAACTTAAAATTTATCGTTGCGCATTATTTGCCTTTGGGCATCGTGATTAGTACAATAAAGCGCGTGTTAGACATGTACCTTCTAACCCCTCTTTTATATATAAGATGTGTATTCAAGCATTGAGGCAGCTCATAAATCATTTGGGTAATTAGCGAGCGCAGGCTTTTGTAATATCTTCAGCTTCTATTTATGCTCATTATTCAAATCTAATTTTCAGTTCCATAATATTATAAATAAATAGACACAGTCAGGCTGAATAGATAGATATATACAAATGTGTACATACCGAACCAGAATAATACAATAACACCGAAGTTGAAAACAAAATCCAATAAAAATATAATCATTTTTCACAAAGATATGTTTCAAAATAATTTGATGAGTTCATCTTGCGTATATAAAATAAATATTTATCTAATACAAAAGTTCGCCCGCGTCTTCGTCCGCATTCAACATGAAGATAGTCCTGCTAAGGTTTTACTAGAACTCGAGTAGTAGTAGTTTATGAAATGTTATTTTAGACCGTATGAAAAAGAGAGAAAAGTTTTCCACAAAGACCTTTCTATGTTCTAATCTTCAAGCGAATCGGACCAATGGAACCATAAATTTAATTTTTGCGGGGAGATCGGACTCTGGTATGCCTCTCGGAAAGAAGGACTATTAGTGTGTTAATTTAGGCAAATTAATAAAAATATCAGCAAATATTAAGCAATTCGGACAAAAAGTACGATTTTTTCGAAAAAAAGGGACCCTTGAATCGATCCCAGGCCTGAAAGAAGAAATATATTCCATACCAATTTATAGTAAGAGCTAGTCATGCACCGAATTTCAAGTAAATCGAAAGATTTAAATATAAACTCAATTTTTTCGATTAGCCAGGAAAATCGCTTCTTATCGGATGACAGTTCAATAGTTTGGGCTTAGGCTATATATATAGGTCAAGTAAGAAGTCCGATTTGTTCGTAAACTTGTTGCCAACGAGATGCCAACTTCATTATACCCCTCTCGTAGAAGGCTGCGTCTCTATTGGCAAAAAACTCGGAGAGCCAATTTTCACAGTCCTCTCTTGAGGCCAACTTCTCACCATTAAGCGAGTTCGCCATGGACAGGAAAAGACGGTAGTCACTTGGTGCCAGGTCCGGACTATAAGGTGGGTGCATTAGGACCTCTCATCCGAGCTCCTGGAGCTTTTGGTGCGTCACCAACGACGCTAGTCCTGATGAAACACCGGCACTCGGCCTCTGTTGATCAAAGATGGTCTCTTCTGGATGACTGCTGCCTTCAAGCGGTCAAGAGCCAAAATGAGCATTTGACCATAGGGGAGCAGCTCGTAGTAGATGATTCCTTGCCAATCCCATTGACTAAATTACTTTTTTCAGCCGCTTTGGCTGCTTCTTCGCCTTGATCGAAGAAAAATTGTAAAATATATGCTGATGTCCATCTTTGACGAGCGTCCACAAGGTACTGAGTCAACCAATCGAAAAACTGTCAAAGACAAACTTTTAGCGCGAATAAACACGTCTTCAGCGCCGTATAGTATGACATTATGCGACACGTAACAATAGTACTATGGACAATAACGCCATCTCTTAGAAAAAACCGAATGAACTTTTTACTGCGCTCTTATGTTGTATAACAAAATTAAAGAGGAAAGGCTAATTAGTGCAAAACCCCTCTCCCAAAGCAATAGATAAATGTTAAATAAACATATGTATATGAGACGAGAACAATTTGCTAAGCAATTATTTAAAACACCCATACAGCAACATAATTGAGTTTAATAGGCTTAGTTTGCATATTGGATTTAAAGTTGGTTAAATGCAACCTGTTGGGGAGAAATTGTAAATATTTACTCTTAGTAGGAATTTTTGATTATTCAGAAGTTTTAAGAATTATAAGCAAACCAAATTTGCAACTCAGTAATCCAACAAACTAGTATACAAAGCAACACACGCACATTTTATACATTAGAATACTTTGTCTGAGGGACGTAATTTAATATGATACTGAAAATGACCGAGCTACAGTTAAAATCCTCTTCATCGCTCTCTCTACTACTCTCCAGCTCAAAATCTTTTAAGTGAAAGCAGAGGTCATTTATTTGTTTTGCATCTGTTTGCATTGC